GAGAGACAGAAAGGGGAAGGGGGTAAATGAGGGAGGGAGAGAGAGGGGACAGAGAGAGAAAGAGGGGAGGGGGAGAGAGGAAGGGTAAGGGGAGAGAGGAAGTGGGGGAGGGAGAGAGGTGGGGACAGAATGGGGGGGAGAAGAGACAGAATGGGGGTAGATAGAGAAAGTGAAAGGAGGGGAGAGACAGAGAGAGGGAAAGGGGGGAGAGAGAGAGAGGTGGTGATGGGGTTGGTAGAGAGAGATGGACGGAGGGGCAGAGTCAGGGAGGGAGTGGAGGAAGATGAGGGTAGAGAGAGAGTGAGGGAGGAAGGACAGGTGGGAGAGAGCTCACTAGAATGGTTAGATGGGCCGAGCTGCCCAGTGTGTGTGTGTGTGTAATGGAGAGCTGGCAGAGGGAGGTAGGAAGGTTAGTCTGTGAAGGTGCACTGGGCTGGGGAACCTACAGAGAAGGCCATAGTCTGAAAGTGTACACTGAGCCCACACAAACTGTCCCTGTGTCCTCACTCCCCTCTGTCAGTAGGCAGAGTTGGTGGCTGGGTGGTGGGGTTGGAGATATAGGATAAGCTGGTCCTGTCCCCCTCTATTCCAGCGTGTGCTGGAAGTGGTACCATGTCCAGCATCACCTCGATAACCGAGGCAGTTGGAGAAGAGTTTGCTGGCGCATTGTGGTTACATTGTGGTTTTATTTTTACATCCATCTGCTTGGCTACACTCACATACACACACACACACATACACACTCACACACACTCACATACACACACACACACTCACATACACACACACACACTCACATACACACACACTCTCTCACACACACACAAATACACACACAGTCTCACACACAAATACACACACACACACAGTCACACACACAAATACACACACACACACACAGTCTCACACACACACACACATACTTACACACACAAATATACACACACACAAATATACACACACACACAAATACAAACACATACACAAATACACACTCTCTCTCTCACACACACACTTTCACACACACACACAAACCATTGGGAATAGTGGAATCCTATTGAAAAGCTCCTGATCGGGCAGTGACAAATTCATCGCAAGGTCAAAGAACCGTGAGAGCCAGCTTTGCACCAATCCCCCAGCAGTGAGCTTAGATAACATTCTCTCCCCTCATGCCCCCTCCCCCGTCTTCCTGTCTCTCCATTTCTCTGTCTGACTCTCTTTTTTTCTCTCTCTGTCTCTCTCTCTCCCCGCCTGCCCCCTCCCCCTGTCTTCCCGTCTCTCCTCCTCTCTGTCTGACTCTCTTTCTCTGTCTTTCTCTCTCTCCCCGCCTGCCCCCTCCCCCGTCCTCCTGTCTCTCTGTCTGACTCTCTCTCTGTCTGTCTCTGCCTCTCTCTCTGCCCCCCGGCACCC